GCAAATTGCCCAATTTTGCCATCTTCCCTTCGCCTGCCTCTTCTGGGGCCTTCCTTTGGCGGGGTTATCAACGCATTATCTCCGTGAAAAGGAGTGCAGTTGGGAATTGTTGGGGGCAGCGGGAGCCACTGAAACATCGGCCAAATGGAGAGTGGAGGGGGAAGCAGCCGCGGTGCCAACAATAACACACAAAGAGCGGATGGGCACAAAGTGGAAAAGGAAGGCGGAAAGGCGGAAAGGTCGGAGGAAAATAGGAAAAATGGGGAGTCGAGCTGGCCAAGAGCACTAGTCGCCGGCTGGGAGAAAAGCAATAATCTAACATTTCAGCACATTTTACAGTTCACTGAATTAAATAAAGAAACTTTGAGCTCACAAGCGCACGCACACACACACACTGGCATATACACACACACATATACACACATATATAGATTAAAACCTATGAGCATAAAGCTGCCGCTGTCTACGTGGCGTATGCGTATTTCAACATGTCTGAATACGCTCTAAACCCAACAAGAGTATTACAGGTCCCGCAAGCAGTGCTAATCCCTTATCCTTGGGGACTTAAAGTTTTAACAAAAACATATATTGACTTGGATAATCATTATATTACGTTGTCTTAAAGACACAAGTACTGGGATGGGCTCTAGCTCTTCCTCATTTTATGCATTAAATAAGCTATTTCTGGTTAAAACGCAAATACAAATCAAACCAATCAGAATTAGGAACTCTTTAAGATCAGATATTATTGTTAACATATTTATTTGTTAATAAAAACCTTTTCCATCAATCATGGGACTTTCGGGTAGGGCATTTTAAAGTAAACCCAATGTTTTTCCAGCTAATGCTGGCCTCCAGATTGTGTGTCTACTCGTATACGAATGTATAGAGTTGCTCGCTCGAATGTTTCCACAAAACTCAAACGGGTCGGGACATTCGGCCGAAGACAGACAGGAGGAGTCCTTCTATGCAGCATCTTCTGGCTGAGAGTAAGGACTTCCAGGGTCGAACTGAGTGACTGAACGGAGAAGCAAGCAAAGCAATTTTTATGGAAGCACAATTCTACAGGAGGAGCGCAAAATAAATGCCGCGTTATGGGACCCGAGTTTCCGAGCTGCGAGTTTCCTAGCTGCCGCACTGCCGCACTGCCTCACTGCCACTGGGACAAGGGCACAGGCAGTGGAACAGGCACAGACGCATGCTGGAAAAGCGTGCTGGAAAAAATGAAAAGCACAAAAAAGGAAACACCAAAAGGGAAAAAACTGCTGAGCTAACGATGTGTGATTTTTCTGTATGGCTGGCTGATGGGGTCTGATGGGGATGGGGTTGGATAGGGAAATGGGTGGGGGCGACAATTGGGCCGGGGTTAGGACTCTTTTTTAGGTTTCTGGTTCGGGTTCGAGCCGGGCATAAAAAAATAATAATAAATGAAAGTGTTGGCGCTGGCGATGGCTCGTGGTACGTGTAATAACATTCAAGTGCGCCAAGTTTAATCTTTCAAAATGCTTATGCACAAAAAATAAGCTATAGCTATATAGCGGCAAGTCGGGCAACTGGGGCGATGGAGTGTCAGCGGGCGAGAAGTAATGGGGAAAAAAATAATAAGCCAGGGCCACGGCGAAAAAATAATGCGAATTTACGTTTAGAGCCTGCAAAATTATTCAAATTAAAATTGTAAGTATTCTAACGCGTCGCAGGCATCTGCGGCCCACCAGCTGCGGTGCGCTGCAGGACCAAAAAGCAGGCAATACACTGTACAAAAATTGACATTCAGCACTCAAACCTTAATTCCTGATATTTGGATGATTTCTTGCCCTTCTACTTGTTGTGCCATTTAACAAGTTGCCAAATGATGGTAAATGTTATTCAATATATTTAAGATTGTAAACATTTTTGAGTTTTTATTCTTGATAAATGATTTTGGTTGAGTGTAAGGCAAAGAGAGAGAGCGAGGGAAAAGGAAAGAGACAAGTAAGGAAGCGAGAGCGCTGACCCAGCGCTGTGTTAAATTAGCTGGGACACTTAATTTCTGTTGACGCGCACATTTTTCTATGGAAATTAACGCTAAATAATTTTTTGGATTCGCCAGCGAATCGTTCAGGCAGCAGACCGAGGCGAAGAACCTCCTCCCCGTCCTCGTCCTCGTCCTCGTCCTCAGCCTTGGCCCTCCATTCGCATTCGGCTTAGGCTGGAGTTGGCAATTAGGCCCGGGGTGTTTGAATTAGTTTCGTGTTTTAATGAGTTTCATAACTTTTTGGTTCCGTTGTAAATTTTGCAGCAGCAACAAAACACACATAAAAGATGCGTGCAACGGTTAAAACGGTGGGTGCTGCGTGATGGGTGGAGTGGGTGGAGCGGGAAAACCAGAAGGAAAACGAGGGAAACCCTCGGGTGGATTTATGTATGTATTTGTTAGCCATACCCAGTTGACATAAGCGAAAGCAAAGTGGCAAAAGGCAACATGAAAAATGCTTTAAATCTTGTCAAACGCGTGGGGCTGGGCGATGGGCGTTGGGCGTTGGGCGGTGGGGGTTGGGCTGTTGGGCGTTTAGGGTCGGAGGTCAGGTCTCAGATGTGTGTCTGTGTGTATGCTAATGATATTTTAAGAGAGCTTTCACTGAGCCCGCACATGTGTGAGTGGGCAAAGTGAAAAATTATTTATGTTGCCTACTTATTGGGGCATGCAAATGCGCATTGTTATGCAAAACGTTTCTAATTCGGCCCATAAATTGAATTATCCAGCGAATCAAACTATCCAGCAGCTTGCCATGTAATATTTAAGAGCGCTCTAATTAATTAAACATCGCAGTGTCCGAAACAGCGGACACCACAAATAAAAAAAAAAGGAAAAAACACAGCGAGAACGCCTGACAGGACTCCCCGAAAAAAGGAGCGAAAATTCCAATGACAAATGGGGCTCGCTGTTAAATATTTGCAGGAAAACCCTTTTTCCGGCATAAAAACTGGAAAACACCAAACGTTTCTATCTCCTTTGCACACACCATTTATTTCCCCCTCACTCCCCGCCTTTGCCTTTGTTTGTAGCCGCCATTCAACTGTAATTACTTAGGTAGACCCGATCCGAAACGATACGGGATATAAGCCTCTTTGCAGAGAAAGAAAAACTTTGAATTTTCTTTTAATTTTTCATTGTTAAATTGCCATTTCAAAGGCGGGCCGAACGGAGGAGGAGCGAGCAAAGTGTGGCATGTGCAGGGATGCGCCAAAACAGAAAACAGAAAACAGAAAACGGAAAAGGCAAACCAAAGCAATACGGAAAACTGAAACTGGCAAAAGGACAAACAAATTGAAACTTTATACAGTTGGCAAAAGTTGAGCGGACCAAATCAAAGGCAGCAAACCCGAAAGGGTTAACAAATTTGCAACATTTTGCAGGTCCGTGAAATGGGAACCGATTTTGATGTAGGTCAGGTCAGGCTAGTCGGGAAAGATTTAAGCAAATTTAATAAGACCAGGCTGATCTAAGGCAAACAGTGAGTTGGACAACGAGTGGCGCCTGAGAATAGTTTCTCATATTGACACACAAATGGTTAAGTTAAATTGGATATTTAGGAAATCCATCGAAACAAGTTGTAGGCCAATACACAGAAGTCGAGCAATAAAAATCATAATTAAGTCAAAATTCAGATCCCACAAAAGGTATAACCATACTTAATAGACATAATAAAAGGCAGGAGGCAACGAACCGAATTCAATTTTTACATAAAACAAATGAAAAGCAACTCGAAGACATCAACGTGAATTCCTGACTAGGAAATGTGCCCAGAAATAGATGGAAATCCAAAGAGAAATAAATAAAAATAGTGAACAATGGTCAGTTCCTGAAATTTAAGCAAGAGCTTGGACTGGAACTGATGGCTCTGCAGTAAATTTAATATACTGGAAAAAACGCAGCCCAGCCAGCCAGCCAGCTAGCCAGCCAGTTGAAAGTGTACGCAAAACCCATTAAGAGCAGCCATGGAAGCACTCGTATCTAGACAAAATCTTTTGCAAAATAAATGCGGAGGGAAATAAATAAATATCAAACCATAAATAAATAAAAGTTGTGAACAAGCAAATGCCCTGTCCACCAGTTGGCAAACATTTACAACTCCAGAAAACCCAGAAAAACCAGTAAAAGCAGCGAAAGATACAAGATACACACGTCAGCGTCGGCTTTGTGTACTCGTATCTCGTGGGTAGTTGTGGTCGTGGGCGGCGACACGCCCCTTTTCGCACAAAAATCAATATGTTGATTTGAACTTTCTTCTTTCTCGTCGCCAGTCCCTTCGCTCCTTCTGTTTGGCCACAAAGTTTTGCGCCAAGGAATTATCAATTTCTTTCTTTCCTTTCTTGTTTTGGCCAACTCCTCGAAAGGAACGGAGGCCAAAATCTGCCATTATCTGCTTACATATTCATGTGTCTGTAGCCTGGATGTCCGTATGTATTTCTATACATAAGCGGATATTTTTGACACTTCAAAAATTGGAATATCTCAAGAGCGGAGCCGACAGGCGAACAAAATGCCCTGTGTAATTTTTCATGACTCTGCGCCCCATCTGGGACCCACTGGGTACCACTTCCATTCAAAATCGTAGCAGATTGAGCTGTTGAGCTCATGGAGAATGGTTACCCCCCATATACACATACATTTATAGGCTATATATACGGAGGAACCAGCATGACAACTGAGCCTCTTCCTTTATCGCTCCTCCGTATCCTGGCCGTAGCCTGCCACTTTTTTATTTTTTATTATTTCGCAAATATCGATAAGGGGAGATAGGCGAGTATCGCCAAAGAGAACCCAATGCCATCTCCGTGTCACTCCGCCTGTCTTTCCCACTTTGCCTTCGCCATCGCCATCGCCATATTTGGCGACAGTAAATGTTTGCTAAATATTCTCAGTAAATACTTGGCAGCTTATGTGGGTGCTGCACACACACAATCATTCGCACATAAATAAATAAGTATGTTCTACAGTGAAATCATGGCTTACTTACAGTGCTCGACGGCAGTGATGACTCAAAGGAAGTGCCCAGCGAATCTGCAAGAAAACAAACAAGAAAGGGTTGATGTTTGTGTTTTTTAATATACGAGTAAAATCAATAGATATGAGTATAAAATAGCAAAAGATCATGAAACTTTGTATATCTCAGACCATTCCTTCTTGGAATGAATGTTTGCAGTGGAGAAACAAGCCAGCAAAGGCTTTCCATTGGGCTAAGACCACTTAAAAGGACCAGATCCGTACCGATAAACGACACTGTGACATCACTGTTCAGCAGTTCGGATCAATGATTCGATTCCTTAGCCCTTTGAGGCTGTCAGGAGTACTTACTGTACTCCGTTGAGCCCCCTGAGCCCGGCTTTCGCTGGCCGGATGTCTGGGAGCCGTGAGCTGTGAGGAGCGAGCAGTGAGCACTGGGATATAACGCACTTTAAATCTCGTCTGGGACGAAGGGCATAATGTGCGAGGGAATTATTAATGAATTTATGTATTCGTAATCACATCCAATACCCGCCCAATCAACGCAACCTCTGCAAGTTGGTATTGACGGCAAGGCTTACCCAAGAAATTGGTTTTATTTTACATACGTTTGGGGCCCCAAGTCCCGGGCGATTCATTAGTTTCTATTTCAGTGGCTGGCAATTCAATCAGGTTGATCAGTTTTCAATATTGCAGCTATATTGCGTCGGTCTGTCCCGCTCTGCTTGGGCCTCGTTGGCTTTCTCTAGTTTCCCGGCTGTTTGGGAGGCAGTAAAGTAAATTTAGTTAACCAACCATAAAAAATTGTGTGCGCAAATGTGGGTGAGTGCTTTGGCTTTTGCCGACCCCACCCGCCTTCACTTCTTATTCGCCCTGCCCTGCTATTCACACATATTACGTATACGACACATAGTTGGGCGGAAAGTTGATGATGTGGTTATAGTTGCTGCTGCCGCTGCTGCTTCTGCTCATTAGAGCTGCGTTCGCGCCGAAAAATCTGTAACACATAAAAGTATGCAACATGAAATGTGCTAACGACAAGCCGACACTGCGAGAAATGCTCTTGAATTCGTGGTTATTCTTCATATCTTTTATACTTTTTTTCAAATCTTATATTTTCTGTTGAAAATATATTCCTATATTCTATATTCCTTCTTATATTCGACAATACCTTCTTCAGGTATAAGCGGAACAAAGACAGAACCTCATCACTGACCCAATTGTTGATATTTTGTCGCAGTGCAGCATCGAAGGAGAAAGTAATGGACGGGGATGGAGAGAGACCAGGGCTGTCGGGTGATTCCCAGATATTATCAGGAAAGTTATTGGCGGGCTGGGTGGTCAGTGGGAGGATGGGTGAATGAGGGAAGCGAACTGCTGCTAAGCATTAAATTTATGAATCCACTGCGAAGTGTCTTCCTCCACTTGGTGGCTCATAACTCGAAGTCAGCTTAGAGCCGGGTAACCAGGATCCACTAACCAGTAACCAGTACCCAGTAACCAAGGCGACTGTGGCGCCGACAGGAAGTTACGTGACTCGTGGGCATAAGTCCGAGCTGCATTTCACCTTATTTGCTTGGACTTCATCTGGCTGCTCCTCTTCTTTGGCTCCACTAATGGCTAAGTCGGGCCAAGCAGCCAAGTGATAAATTCCGGGCCAAATAGAAACGAAGTGGCCGGGAAATTTACATTATCACGCGAGGCGCTCGGCAGCTGAACTCTGGACAATGTAGTTATGCAAATAGCGCCACGAATTATATAAATTGCGTATACGCAGCGTGGCCCAGACACATTGATATAAATTCATATTCAAATGGGCAAAGGGAGTGGAAAAATGGGGGAAAAGGAAAACATTTGCACAACATTCGAGATACATTCGCATATCTGGAACTTTTCTGGGGCCTGGGTCCCAGTGTCTCCGGCAAATTAAGGCGGGCCCAATGGAAAAAGGACAAAGGGCCTGTAAGTAGCGGAAAATGTTAAACGACCGACCGTCTACCATCGACGTCGGAGGTACGCAAATTGATATTTTTCTACTACATGCAAATAACACAAGTAATGCGAGTGCAGAGGGGAAGAAGCTGGGTATGTGGATGCTGGCGAGGCCTTCCCTGCGCAGATAAATGATCTGATAAGACAACAACAAACGTAAAAATTTATGCATGCCAACTAAAGCGCACACACAAACACACACATTTGCGCACCCACCGGAAGTGGGTGGGTGGCCACGTGTAGGATGCTGGGGAAAAATGAAATAAAGTTAAACAGGATATTTCAACATTCTCACAGCAGAAGCAACAGCAAACAAAACAACTGAAAGTAAAAGCTAACGAGGGGCGGGGGCGTGCCAAGGACGTTGCCAGGACACATTCCGATTCGGTGTGTTAAAATGTAATAGCAACGTTAATGAACACGAACGCAGCAGCAGCAGCAGTGGCAGTGGCAGTCGCAGTCGCAATGGAAATGGTCACATAAAAAAGGCAACGATTTGGCCCGGCCTCTGCTCCTTTCATTCCTTTTTTTGTGTGCGCCTCCATTTTATCCATTCCCTCCTTTTTTGCGCCCGCCCCACAGGTTGTGGTTGTAAAACACGCACACACACTTGCCCACAGAAGGACTCACACCAGTGCACGGATACACCCATACAGCCATACAGCCATACATGCAAAGACAGGACATTAGCAGGGAGAGCAAAAAGTTAGCAAAGCGCAGGAAGTGCGCGGATGAGAGCCAAACAAATCTCAGCCACGCACGTCTTTGGCAGCCTCGTAAAAACCCCCACCCCCTGACATTGGGTCCCTTTCTCCCCCTTCTCCGATTACCCCCAACTCCACCCAATCGTGGTTCGCTTTCTTTGTTGTCTCCCAAAAAACCAATTGCGCCGTCGTCGTCGTCATCGTACGCTATTGATACACTGCCGGAAAAGTCTGTCTGACGTTTTGAGAACTCTGCTTCGCGAAAGATGAAGTCTGTTTAAGAACAGATTCTTTTGAGGATAGAAAGTATGCCTACTTTGGAATTCACTTTTTAAGTATGTGCCTTATGTATCTTGACACTGATATTCGGAAAATATATTTTGTTCAGTGTTTCTCGTGCTCCTGACTTGGCTGCTGGCTTCGCTGTTGTCGAGGCCAACTGCCTCCGCCTCCGTCCCCGTCGTCCTATCCGGATCCGACTCCATCTCCCATCTACGATTCTCTTGCCCGGGAAGGCTTTCAATCGTCGCCCGATGCTGCGTGGAATGTCACCACGTTGGTGATGCGTGAACAGTAGTAGTCAGTGATTCAATCACGGCCATCTGCGAAGTTGATAGAACCCGAATTGAAGGCGGAATATTTTATAGGAACTGCGATTTTAATCGGTCTTTGATCTCAAGTAGTATTGAGGCCGAGAACCCAAAACCAGCTCTGATTTATATTACCATGTCAAGCAATTTAGAAATGATTATTTTAAATGATAAAATCAGCTCTCTAGGATAATATTTAAGGATAAGCAAGTACGACATAGCCCAATTACTCATCACTTCATTTCGTAGAGCATTAAAAACCTCTTATTTGGTACAGAAAGCACGCATGTCTGCCCGGTTCCTCCATGGCCAGTAGTTCTACCTTCTCCTGTTATCCGCAGCGCGTAAGAAAAGCGCAGGCTAAGGAGCTTATGAGATTATAACTCCCTGTACTTCGATTCTTCCGCTCCGGTGGCTGGGGAACCACCTTACTAAACCGGAGCTTAATAGTAGTTTGAAGGGATCCCGAGCACACAAGGGCACCAATTAACCACAAGGGGAAATGCGAGTTCTGCTGCAGCAATTATAAACTAATTCCAGTTGGGCTCAATCACAGTTTTGCCCCAACACTGCTAGCCCGTTTCCCTGGGAAAAGGAAGGCAGTTTCCATGGAAGGTGGGCTGTCAGTTTCAATGAGGCAGTTTACACCGTTTGGATGGTATTTGACGAGCATCTCGTGCGCGACACTTTGGCTCCATAATGATGCGTGTCGCCCCCCCAAATCCTCCCCTAAGCAATCCCCAAAGAACTCCCACGAATTCGGGAGCCCAATTTGCGGATCTTGGCTTGTTGCGCTGCTCATAAACATCGCAGCTTACTTTGCTGCGGGACATTTTTATGTCATCCGATCCGTTAACGAATTTTCCAATAGGCCTTTCCTCGTTCGCCATTCACCATTCACCATTCGCAGGCTGCTCAATTTTCCTCCCCTGAATTACCAAATTGGATGTCCAATATTTGCTGGGGTTAAGCAGCAGGCAATTTATGAATACCTTAATACGGTTTATAGTCGAAATATTTACCTACCAAAAACACAGGCCAAAATGCGAGAACACACTGGCGAAACGGTAATAAAAAAAGGAGCCGGCCAGCCTGACAACGCGCAGCGAAGATGTCGATGTCCTGGTCGACTGGGGGTAATGAAAATAACTGACATTAAGCAGATGAAGCGGTCCTGGACAGCGTGGCCAAAGGGGGTGAAAGTGTGGAAAATTGGGGGAAATCGGTGGGCAGAATGGAAGAGCTGCGAGCGAAGCATAAAATATTAAACGGGAAACCTTCGTAATTAAAGTGAAATGAATTTAAGTACGCAAATTGAACGTTGAGGAAGTCAGGAGTCGGGTCCCGTCGCTTCACATTATCGTGTGGATGTCTGCACTGAGAGAAACTAAGGGGGGCTTATGCATACATTGTAAGCTTTAATATTAAGTACCCTCTTAGATAAGTATTCCTCCAATCCAAGAATGACGTTGATTTATGTAGAGTAATGTAAATTTCAATCCCAGGAAAATGGTATCCTTTTTGCCAGTGTACTGGCTTGGTGATGAGATGAATGGAAAGGGATGGACCAGCATGCGAGTATACGTATAATTAAGTGGTCACCAGCTCGGGAAGCCACTCGAATTGACCCATCTGAGCTTTGACTTTGAAGTGAGTTTGCTCAAAAAGTGTATGCACTCTTCAGGAATAAATATGTGCTCTTATATACTCGAAAGGCTGTATGTCCGGGCTTTTCCCGAACTAATTAAAATGCAGTTAAGTATTTATTTCC